GCAACCCATAGTAGCCGACAAGGATCCTTCAATCAGGTTGTGTCGACTACCTCCTCAGACTAAGTAGACCAGGGATCATGATGGCCTGGGATGATGGAACCATGGGATCTTGATCGGGTCCATCATTCATTCCCCCACCATCTGCTTTAAGTGTAAGATGGTAAAATTTCCATTTTAAATATCAAACTTTTAAAACCTAAGCCCATGCTGCTATTATAAGCCAGATAACACGTATTCTCTATATATCAAATTGACGACTAGCCTTAATCAAAAGTTCTCTCTCATTATCAGGAGGGGTAATTAACTATAGGGGCTTGCGCCTACAGGAAACAAGAACTCTAATCATAAAGTCCGCGCAAAATAAGGGAGAAATCTTTGTGTAGTGTCTTATCTACAAACTTAATCTGCCTTCCAAAAATTTACCCCGAAATTTAATCTGTTAAAACTCCGCTAAAAAACAACCGGGAGTCTAGGGCCGAATTTTCGCAGCCTACACAAACAAAAGAAATTATCCAACACAAAATTCATCTTCTTTCTCTCCCAAATTTCTTCTTTACCTTAAAAAGAGATAAATCCATTCTTAAGTTTAAATTATGAAGGAGTTGCATGAAAAATGAACGAGATTGAAAAATAACATACCTTCCTTCTGCTTCTTCTTCTCTTATATATTCTCACTCGTACAAAATTTCTAACTTGAGTTTTATTCCAATGGAGTGTGTGAAATGAGGTTATTTTTCATAAGGAATCGCTACCTTTCTTTCATACGTAGAAATCCACTGGACCGTGCGATCCAAGTTGTCCAAGAAGGTCCCCGCACGTGGGCGGCTTTGCTTGCGGTCCGCCTGGACCGCGATCCTTCCCTCCCGCTCTTTGTTCTATTCTCTGTACTAAATAGAGGTAAGTTTAGCTAAACCAGTTGAGCCGATGTTACAACTAAGACACATACAAAAACATGAGCATTGTGAACAATGGAATTCAAGTAAAATTTAATCCTATGCCTTAGCCTATCTGCCTTTTCTTCTATACCAACTACAATGATAGAAACTAAAATGAGCATGTTGAGCTACTTTAGATGCAACGCCACCTCATCTCAACACAAGACTTCCCTGTGCATGACTTCAACTTTAACATACGAGTGAGGCTTGCTTCAACTTCGACGGGAAACAACTTTAACTATAATACAAGAGCGAGGTGCTCAACATTAATGCTCAACTTTGACGAGGACTTCATCTTCACCTTCTGCTTTGGCTTTGACTTTGACTTCTAAGACTTCAACAAGCAACGACTCGGCTTCAAGTTCGACACCAACTACTTGCAAATCCCAAATAGACTTATTTTTTAGTGTTTTTTTTTTTAATTTTACTATTTTATCATAAGATTTTTCTGAAGGAACCATTAACTAGATTTAGGGTTTAACCATAAATCTTCATTCTCAATGTCATTTTTGTTAGTAAATTTTTTTTTCTATAGACTTTTAATCTTTTACTATAAGTATGTTTTAATAAGTTAATGTGTATATTTTTTAGTAGAAATTTTGTCAAGGAAACTATTCTTTGTTGTTGAGTATTAATTTTATTTTTTATAAAATATAATATTGTGCACATGGCATGTAGTATCATAATTTTTGCAATTATGATGTGTTGTTGTGTCTATCATGTCACCCTATATTCTACTTTAGAAAGATGACGACGATTATTTTACAACTTATTATACTAATCTTTGCAAATAAAGATTGCACTTTGATTTCCCAAACATGTTTATTTGTTGTGAAATTAAAGCATGATCTATAATATTCACATAAAAGCATTGTTTGATATTGAACTGATGAAAACATTTATTAGTTTTCATTCATAAAGTTATGAGTAAAAGGCTAAAATAGTCCTCCGAATATTAGTAAATATCCAATTTAGTCAGTCTTTTATGATGATCAATTTAATCCCCAGACTATTAGAAAATATTCTAATTTGATCTCCATTTCAAAAATAATAGTTAAAATCAACCACAATGGTTATATGTGAGAATATTTTGGGTATTATGGTATATATTAGATTATATTTTTTTATATATTTTATGTCATTTACCATATTAAAATAAATACAAAAATCATAATGGAAGTTAACCAAATAATTTTGGTATTTGTTTTAATAAGATGAATGATAAAAAGTATAAAAATAATAATATAATCTCCTATACACCCTAATACTCAAAATGATCTCACATTTATTATTGGAGTTACCTTTAACTATAATTTTTAGCCTTGGGACAAAATTAAAATATTTTCTAATAATACGATAACTAAATTGGGGCTTATAAAAGTCTAGGACTAAATTGAGAGTTTGTTATTAGCCGGGGGACTATTTTAGCTTTTTACTTATAAAGTTATGTTCGAAATAATATGATAACTTACGCAAAAAAATTAAGAATAGTAAAGACAAAACCTAACTATATCATAGCACATTCTTTCACAAATCACCAACCGCAATTATCAACCACAAAAGAGTCATCCTCTTTATGCCAATTGTCCTGATTGAGCATCAAGTGTAAGGAAGGCTCCGTCCTTGCTATCTCCGTGTATTCTCAAGATGAGTTAGATAAAAATTAGGAGACCCAAATGTGCAAATAACAAGTCATCCAACTGAAATCGAGCATAATGAGCGCTCTTAAAATCAATGCCTCATCACCTCTCAGTTTTTCTTTTATTGAAAAAGGCCTCTCTTATACCAGCAGCAAGTGGGTGAAGGCTGAAAACACTGCCATGATACTGCACAAAGTTTGGATGGAATTAACAAAAAGAAAAATGGACCATAGGAAGAGAATTATAATGGAATGGAGGAAGGTTAGATGAAATGAACAATCTCACAAAGCACAAGAGAATAAAAATCAAATAGAAAATGAGAGGGCTAGGGATGAAGAAAGATGACGTGCAGTTGACAATCTCAAATGCTTTCGACTTCATCTTTGGATGAAGTAGAGTTGTTGAGATGCCGCATGACCCTATTTTTGACTCAAAGAGAAGGCTTCCGTCATGAAAATATCCTATCTTATAGAATAAGCTTTTTTAGAAAGACCTCACATTCCACAATGAAGATGAGGCCTCAAAAGCTAAAGTCCACTCTAGGAACAAAAGTATTCCAAAATTTCATAAGCCTAAGTACCCATAGAGAACCCAAATTATCACTATTCCATAAAAAAGAAAGAAAGATAAATCTTCATCATAAGCATTGGAAAATAGAATGACACCACCATCTCAAGGAACACTATGACAACATACCTCAAGAGACAGGTAACCAAATAATTTCACCATAAAAAAGGAGAGTCTAAGTTAACAAGATATGTGGACTATGTTGATAAGACTTAACCCAAGCCCTCTTTCCAAGAGAATATTTGGAACAGGACAGTCAAACCCTAGTCCTATTGAGTTATATTTTGAATGCACTCTATTCGAGGTAATCCTATCATATTACATCTACAAACCGTAGGCCAATGCCTCTTGACCCAGCATTGACTTCTGGAGCATTCCTTTGCCTATAAGGAAAAAAAAAATGAAAGAGGAGAAGGCACGAATGTTGCATCCACCAAAATCTTAGAGACACCTTCAAGTTTACAGGATAGCTCAGTGGCTTAAGCACTGGTGACCTCCTCTCTCTAGAACTTCTTTCCTGCCTCAAAGCTAGAAGATTAGCAATTCAAAGGCAGGATCCTATTATCTTTAGGTCGTTCATAATAACCATTAGCTAGTTCTAGCCAAACCATAAAATGTTCAAGCTCCTCACAGAGATCAACTTGCCCCTATCAAACAATGATTGAATTGCCTAGGCCGACACTATTTTGAAGCAACTACCCTGCAAATGAATGGCAAGGGCTTGGACTACTGTATGTTCGCTCGACTTACATTTTCTTCCCAATAAAGTTTTGGCATTTTATGGCCACCAGATCTAACACCAACAACCAACCACACTACCAACTCCAAGGTTGTCATCAACAAAATTTACCCAAAAGGATGAACAATTACCCAGAGTTCAGGACAACCAAACTCCCCTTTTCGATGTCGAGCTGACTAGATGCTACTATCAAAAATGTCTTTTTCGAGACTGCTAGTGATCTCTTATCAATTCAACATAATGCTTCTTGTGGCTTTTATAAATTTGAGAAAACCATGAAAAAGACAATGATTGCACCTTCCTCAGAAACTTTCTAATGGAAAACTTCTTCTCGCAATTCATTGAATGTGAAGACAAAAGACAAGAAAGACAGAGATGTTCATGCAACAATGGCACTTCTTGTCCTCAAATCCTGCCATAAAGATAGTTTAAAGATGGTAAAGAGATTTCAATACCTAAAATTAGCATTAAATTAATTCTAAAACATGTAACATTAGAATTAATATTATATTCTTCAAGTAGTAAGCATGCATAGATGCACTTTAGTATGGGGAGTATGTTTCACAATTAATAGGATCACCTGGAACGCATAATCTTCTCTCAAGCAAACATGATACAACCATGTAGGTCTTGCTTTCATCCACCTCTTGGTCCTTGAATTAATATTTTCCTTAGGCGAAATTCGGGTGACTTTGCACAACTCGAGTCCATAATCCGTTGTTTTCGATTGCATTCACTCGAGTTATGTGCAAGTGGTTCTCCTTGAGCGAATTCAACGTCCCAGATGCAACAGCGTAATCCATTTGAGAAGCATAGTGATAGTAGCTCTATGTAAGGTTCCTTATGAGATATGTGCTTCAATTAATTAAAGCATGGGCTTTCTATGCTCTTCAAGCTTTAAAACAAAAAAGCCCTTTTGTGTGTTGCATCACGTATTCTGTGATAACAACCTTAAAACTAAAACTATGGCATAGCTCTCAAGCCTTAAAAACTTCTTTTTCATATGTTTAAAATTTCATGCATTGGGTTTTTCACCATCAAGTGAATATGCAGCATATAATAACATCTACAGAGGCCTAAAAAACGTGCCATGGAAAGTTTTACCATTAGTATTTATAGCCATTTCAAGGAAAACTCATACCTGCGCAGAGCCTAGATCAAATATATTTCCTGCCAGTACTCCCCGAATCAAGTTTTCAACACGATTTCCCTCATCAATGGCATCATTCCTCCTTACAACATCTTCAAAAAGTGATATAGCTTTTGCATTCTCCTCATCCTAATACAGATTAGATCATATTTTTATAATCTTTTAATGTATACAAAATGCTAAAAGATCTGGAACGATCAAGGTTTATAATGCATATGTACCTTAACTTTCTTAAATATATCTCTAAATCCCAATTCTCTTAGTGCTTGCTCACGAAGCCTGCAGAGAAGCTAGAAATGAAAAACATACATGAACATACATCAGAATTTCAATCTTCAACCTCATAAACAAAATTGATAAAAGATATCAATGATCAAGCACAGAAACAAAAAAAGAACCATAATCAGCTGACTTGTATAAGGACTTGCTTACAATGCAATCTGGTGGCCCACCATGACTCTCAGGATCTTTCTTCATGTCTTCAAGAATTTCAGTATATCTTCGCATGCCCCAAAACAAAGATAAGCAACATCAGATAAAATAAAATTTCATGAAGAAATTTTTTTTAATAAGGCATAATTTTTCGACTAGTAAATGATATGAGTACAAAGAGTTATCAAAGGAAAATAAAAAAACACAAAATTAAATTAAAGATGACATGATGGCAAAAGTATAAGGAATCCGTCACAGCTAAGAAAAGTTACATAAGCTCTCATTTGCAAAGCCTTGCATGAATCCTAGTGAATTTTGGGGAGTGACGATAAATTTTTTTCCAAAGTCCTCTGCCAACTAAAGAAGATTTGAAACATCTATCTGCCTAAGCATTATTACTCAAAAGAATCCCATCAAAAGCATAAGACTGCTCTGATTTAGGGTCATTAACTTATGTAATAATCAGGATAAGATAAGTTGCAAATAAAATAAGAGAATCAGAAACAATGCTCATACATCAAATGATGTGCTAACCATGTTCCTGGAACTAACTAGATCATACATTAGGCCTTAGATCCATAGTAAGGATTAAAGTTGCTTCCAAATTCTAACTGCAAACTTGATCTACATTACGAACTAAAGTCATCATGCATAATGTTAAGATTTGATCATGTGTATGTTCCCCTTGTGACCAAAAGAGCTTGATTTCCTCAATTTCGGATAAGCCTCAAAACATTCAAAGTTGTTGATGCTATTTTGCATTGTTAGGGTTATAATACAGATGCTTAGAGGCATTTCTAGGAATAATTTAGAGAATGCAAGCATTTTAAACAGACTTTTCCTTAGGGTTTTACATTTCTAGGTAATAAAAGCTATTGTGTACAAGTAGAAAAATGAATCTAATTATTGCAGTATTGATCCATGCGCCTTAGTGTAGATCATTAGCATTAGGATTGACTAACTAGTAATTTGATGAAAGTGAACCTTGTGTGTGTTATCTAGTGACTTCCTAAGTGTTCTATAGGTCACTCCAGCGTTAAGGAAACCAAGCAAATGAAGATTCTTTTTTACTGGGCTAATTTTGAGCCCTTATAACTTGAAAATGAGCTCAACAAGGGAAATCAAGATGCTTTAAGTGTATTAATAAAGATTCTAAAAAGTTGTCTTAGGATGTGTTAAGGCGTTTAATTGCTTAATTGAATTTGATATACAGTGACAATGACAATGCGATACATCTGGATGCATTCAAATGAATATCATCACACAAGCAAAATACCAGTTCATTAATGCAAACAACGGGAAAATCAAATACAAGAACAACACAAAATTTATCGAATGAATAAAGCCTTATGATGAATAAGGCTCCTAGTATAATTGCTCATATGTAGTGATCAGCGACAATCAGAAGTTAGGTGTGGTATAGTTATAAATTGATCACAAAAAACCTTAGTAGTGGTTTGATTTGTCTGGACGTATCTAAGAAGCTACTCACATTTATTACTCACAAATGCTGAAAGTCAACACACAGTGTACATGAAGAGAATAGTGGCGAAAGTAACAATATATCATTTACAAGTGGCAATGATCGATATGTAGTGACTCGTCGGGCAACAAATAAGAAAAAATTGTCAACGAATGTAGCTCAGTCGAGGGTCAATATCAAATTACATGTGGACATATTAATGCACATGCCAATAGTGATAGCTAAAGTGCTGAAGACGAACCACGACAAATATAAGTTCCTATAAGTAACTGTAGGAAGTTTAAATTACATGCAACAGCCGACCTATGAATTAAGGAGGTGATGATATAAGTCTTGCAATACGAGTGATTGTCCTAATAACAATCAACAGTGATCGATATATCGTCAATGTGGAAGTCCTTATGACCGATGTCAACTGTATTGCAAATACATGCAATAGTTCTTACAAGCACTAGAAGACCTGCAAGTAAATGTGGCAGTTCACCAATCAACATACATATGGAAATCAAGAACAGATACAAGCACCTACAAACTGTGTAGTGGAAGGAAATAGATATTACATCACCGTTGCAGTCAACCCTATACAATGTCAATAAAATATATTGATCATTTGCAAGTAAAGGTGAATGACATACAACAAATGCAAGTCTCTACACCATAGCAGAAGATTCGTTAGTGTACTACAATCCACCAGTGAAAAGCAACAAATAGTACAAGACATTCCACCTGTATGAAGCAATGGGATACCCACACTATGACACCACACCATCGGAACTGCAACACCCATGCAGACAAAATGTATTTACAAATTCCCAAATGATCGAGACCCAATGCACCACGACTCCACGACACCAGATCCGTAACTTCCATGAAAGCACACATAAGGTGTATACAAATTCCCAAATGAGACCCAGTGCACCACGACGACACGCCACCAAATCTGCAAAACTTGTACAAGCAGACAGAAGGCGTCAATGAGCTCCTACATAGAGCATTGGGCACGCCCGGACGCTGATCATTCGAACAGTTGATTAACGTTAAATTTTCCTGAAAATGCCCCCACACATGCACTACAAATGTACACACATAAACACAAGGAAGTGCATATGTAATCATACACCCGCATGGGCCCCGACGAGCGTGTTACAGGTATATACGTGATGTTTAAAGATGCTGTGCGGGTGAACAAATAAATCTGAGTTCGAGCCTGATCCTCCTATACGAGAGATAGTAGTCGACACGGCTTGAACTATTGAACAAATATTCAGTTATGGTGACGACTGAATTATCTATTTTATAATTCATATTATGTGTTCAAAGCCTAATAAATGAATGGTTCATCACTAAAGATATAAAGTTTACGAAACTTAATCCTGTGTCAATAGCTTGACAGAGTCGACAATGTTCAATCCACAAATGAAAGTTATATACTCTGATGATGGTTGCGTTGAATAAAAATCTCAACCAGAGATGTCAATTCCAGATATCCAAAATACTATCAAAATATCTATCAAACATTCAAAATCTTTAAAAATTCCAATACAAAAAAAATGTTTAAAATTGAAATAAACTTATCAAACAATTAAAGCAAAATCCATCCACCCTCCGCAACAGTTAGCCGGGATAGACAAATTGAAAATTGCTTAAGCTCACAAAGAGCTAATATATGTTCAAGAATATCACTAGGATTCATTCTCAAACTATCTACTGCAGTAAGAATGTGGCACGAGTCCTCTAACCGGCGATTTTGCCGCCAAATGATGCCGCAGGTAAATGGTTATAACCAGGTCTCTCTGAACCAAGTGGTTTTGTCGCCAAATGATACCACCAAATTACGATCATGGCCAGAGCTCATATGCTCCCCAATGACATCAAATCCTTGAGATATGAATCAATAGGATATAATTGATAGGTCACAAAGCCCTCTGTCAGCTAAGGTGGATTCAAATTTGTCTCATTAGATAAATATTCATCCTAGGTCTACAAGGTACCCCTTGGACGAAGCAACCCATGGCTGCCGACAAGGATCTTTCTAACAGGTTAGGTCGACTACCTCCTCCGACTAAGTAAACTAGGGACCACGATGACCCAGGATGACGAAACCATGGGATCTTGATCGGGTCCATCATCTATTCCCCCACCATCTGGTTTAAGTGTAAGATGGTGAAACTTCTAATTTTAAATATAAAACTCTCAATGCCTAAACTCATGCTGCTACTATATGCCAGATATAACGTATCTCTATGTATCTGATCAATGATTAGCCTTAATCGAAAGTTCTCTCTCATTACTGGGAGGGGTAATTAACTATAGGGGCTTACACATATAGGAAACCAGAACTTAGATTATAATGTCCTCGCAAAATGAGGATGAAATCTCTGGGTAGTGTCTTATCTACAAACCCACCTGCCTTCCCAAAATTTACCCGGGAACATAATCCTTTAAAACTCCCCCAAAAAGCAGCGGGGGAGGCCAGGGCCGAATTTTCGAAACCCACAGAATTCATGTGACAATTTTTTAAAATCGTTAGCCATTGGTGTAGACCATTTGTTAGTTTATAAGAGATGTGATGGCCCCATCATTACCCTCCTCTCACTTTCTTACAACTAAACCTCAGAAAAGATCTCCCTTGTGTTACGAAAAGGTTTTATGCCTGAAATTCTTCCTTGAATGTTAAAAATATCATTGTTTAGTCCCAACAATAACAACTGCAAGCCTGCTACATGAATCTTTTTTCTTCATTGTATCCTATTAAGAGTTAAATTCTCATTTAAATCTAATAAAAAATTATTATTTCTAATAATTTCTAACCAAGTCTTTCTAAGTCCTCTACCTTTCTTAACGTAGTCAATATCTAATACATCTACTCTCCTAACCGAATCATCAGAAGGCTGTTGTTTTATGAGTTAGTTTCTTTAGCAACTTTTTAAATATTGGTGAAAGTAACAATGAGTAAGAAATTCCCTCACATATCAATATTCATAGATTTGAGGAACCATTACATTACCCTGTTATTCTTTGATTCCATGTTTTGTATTCTAGATTACATTTTCATGGGGTTGGCATTGATCCCATGAAATGTTCATCTTTGCCACTAACTATGACCAGTATACATAGTAATGGTCATTTAGCTTGTAACTTCTGACTGGCATAAAGGTGTTCTCTGTTTCATTGGTGGGCTGAGAGATAGATAACTCTAGATCAAAGGTAACTTCAGACATGGAGACTTGCCCTCCAGAGATCTTTCTGCTTTTGATCATGTAAATGAATATACATAGGATAGAGCAACTTGTGCTCCAATACCATGAAGAAAGTTGAGAAACAATGGAGGACAGAAAATATTCTTAATCAAAATCATAAAAACCAATACAATATAAATACAATTTAGAAAACGATAAGGACATACACCTAATACAACCTTAAACAAAAAATAAGCAAATACATAATATCAAAATTTTAAAGTCCAATATAATGTATAATAGATACGGAAAAAAAAAGTAATGAAAACATAGCAGTTAGGAGTCAAAACACGGACAAAATTAGCTACAACAAAAACATCTTCAATGCGATAGACTATGGAATTATATCACATTAAAACAACATCAATTAAGCGCCTAAAAATAGGGACCTTAATCTCATCAATCACAAGTTTCCAAATTGGTTGGTACCATATGGTTTGCGCTCAAACCAGAATCCATTTTTTCCATAATATCCAATATGATTTTTGTAATACAGTTGTATACGTTCCGTATGTTTTTGCTTTAAGAAAATCTACAATTGACACTAACTTATCATCACATGTTTGTCCTCTAGAAGGCACCTTTTTGTATTCTTCATTACCTACACATGAATCAAATGCACAAATTACTCAAGTGGAACCAAACTAGTTTTGGTACCATATTTTAAGACGTAAGTATTTGATGTATTTATGCCTTCATGGAGGGTAAGACATAAATGTGAACTTCGGAGAACACACCAATGATTTGAAACGGTTTCAAGTGTATGTCCAAATTCCTAAGTATGAAAGGCATGGCATGATGCAAGTCATTAGTAACATTCTAACAATTTTTATTCTCATGCATGTCCATAGATTAGCTTAACATCATAACATAATAGCAAATAATTTATTATCATGAATGTCTGAATTTTTGTTTCTGCATATGATCTTTATGTTGAACACGCATTCTTATTTATGCTAGATAGCTGTTGGTTGTATGCATGATGTGAATGTTAAACTTCAAATTTATATGCTCACAAAAATTTTTCTTCTTTGACATGATTAGCTACTATATTAAAAACTTAATATGTATCATGCTTTAGGATTCGTTTATTTTAGCATAACATGAGTTTATAGTTGATAATAATTAGCCACATGCTAATTTGAATGTTACAAAAAGGATTGATGTATCTTGTATATCATTTAAGTTGAAACAAAATCATAAAGTATTTTGATACTTGAATACTTTGCTAATTTGATACTTTGTGATTATCTATATTACTATATATTTTATATGTGCAGTTCTTCATGTATACAGATCACTTAATCCATTTTTTAAATTTAAATTAAATATTGGGGACCAATGGAGATATATCTGCTCACATAATGAAACAAGGGAGTGGCCATGCCTTGTCATGCCACTCCCACCACCAATCTCCAAGATTTAGGGAACCTCACATCATCCCATACCTTTTGTTATTTCCAGTTCTTCATGTATACAGATCACTTAATCCATTTTTAAATTTTAAATTAATTATTGGGGACCAATGGAGATATATCTGCTCACATAATGAAACAAGGGAGTGGCCATGCCTTCTCATGCCACTCCCACCACCAACCTCCAAGATTTAGGGAACCTCACATCATCCCATACCTTTTGTTATTTGAAATTTTCATTTTGTAACCTATAAGGTGACAATAAATTATGCACATTTAGCATTGCAAATTGAAAAAAAAAAAATTTGGCGAGTGTTTTCCAACACTTCTCTCCTTCCTTGGCTGGGTGGCCGAGATACTATTTTCCAATTTGATGAGGATTCATTTTCAAATGTTTGTTCAGAAGATATTATGCAGATTTCTACCTCTATTACTCCTTTAACTCTTTTCCTTACTAACTATAATGATCTATCCACATCATTTAAAAATTTTTAAAGAACTGGGGCAATGTGTCAATATAGCCAAACAAGATTTATCTTTTGATTTCATTTCACTAGCTAAAATATATTCATCCCCAAACCACTTTCAAGTGTTTCAAAAATCTTAACTTCCCCATATTATAAAAATCCTAAATTTTTAAACTCACCTTATTGGACCTCAGGTTCAAAGAGTATCCCACAATTTTTAAACTATAATAATCTATACCCATATTAGGGGTGTATACCATGCCTACACCCCTAAGATTTCTACACCACAAAGAGCTCTTTCTCAATATTAGCTCTTGAAACACTAACATAAGGCCCCATAATAATTGGTATCACAAACATGTACTCAAGGTTGATACTTATATTTATTAAAGCTAGCCCTCTATAAATTGGTATAAGATTCATTTTATAACTTTCATAGAGCATAAATTTTTTAATTGCTTTCATTTACATATTTTTCAAATAAAGGGAGAATTATGAGAAAAAATTATCAGTGGTGTTACCAACTTCTTTATTATGATAAATCTTTTTGATAATGTCAAGAGGGGGTAAAGTTTTATGTTAATATATTTCTCAAGTGATATTGGATAGATGCATGTAATTAGAGGAGGATTTATATTTTTCTTTATGCATCTAGCAAGGAATATTGCACGTGCTTTTAATTATTTTATCTATTTTTTAACCAACATTGAGTTGTCTCGTTAAATAAAATGTGATTGTTGACTGCATAAGCCCTAGTATATATCATATGCATTAGGATTAGCTCATTAGTGATTTAATGATAAAAAAATTTGTATAGTGTCATCTAATTGTTTACTAAGTGCTCACTTGTTATTAAGATGATAGCTAAATCATGGTGTTGATTAATCTTTTCACTAAGTTAGCTTAGAGCATTTGCTACTTGAAGATGAGCTAAAGATACTTCAAGTGTGTATATGAAGATTTTAGGTGGGGGAATACTCGAATTAAGCTAACTCGTGAGCCAAATCAAGCTCAACTTGATTTGGAATATACTTATAATATATAAAAATTCAATAATTATTGTGTGAAGTTACTACAAATACTTAAAGATTGTATTCCTCTTCTTTATTTCAAGTGTTTTTTTATAATTTCTCATTCAATTTCTTATTTTTTATCATGTTATTATAAGAATTTTTCGAATAAAAAACATTTTTTCACTTTTATTGTAAATGAGTTGGCTCGTGAGTTGACTCTAACTCATAAAATTAAGCTCAAACTCAATTAATTAATCAAGCTTAAGCTTAAACTTAAGCTTAAGCTCATGCTCAAGCTCAAACTAAGGGTGGCTCGAGCTCACCTCAACTCGTTACCACTAATTTTAAAAAGTTAGTTTAATGTGTGCTTGGAATCTTAATTGTTTGATTGAGTGCATGGTTTTCCCTAATGCATCGAGGATAATGAACATGATAATTCAAAAAAAAATCTTTATAATTAAATAAGAAACACATAAAATATTTTCAAAATATTAGGTACAAATTATAAAATACATTGTTATATAATTCTGTGACATTTATAGGCTTCTTAGTCAATCAATGAGTCATTGTTAAGCACTTTTAAGCGTCACCATTACACCATTTTCTAATCACTAAAAGATCTTTTATGAATAGATACCAAGCGGCAGTGATTGAGTTTTATATCTATAGGTATACATGTCATCGTTAGACTATTAGTGGGTTATCATTAATTAACAACTAGTTATAATAATCTATTTTACTGGTCATTACAAAGTTCGGATCAGGAAAATAACAAATAATTTTTACATCCGTTAGGATTAGATTCTATGCCACCTCTAGCCATTTGGGAATACTCAATTTAGGTTTTTTTATAAACATATACTTTTCTATAACTACCTATTAATTTCAAGCATTATAAGATAATGATTCACTCCTTTTGAAATTAAAAGTGAGAATGTTATCTTAAAGTTTATGTTTTTTCAAGCATTAATCAAGCATTCATCCTCCATAAATCTTTTTACAATTAGAGAAACACTTTTCTCCTTCATACTTTTCTATGTATTGATTTTTATATTTTGTTATTATTTTACAATATATTGCATTATTCTTGTAGTTGCTAGAGAGAGTTTAGACACCACAAAAGTCTTGGAAGACTTCAAATGAATATATTTCTTGTATAATTAAGCATTAATTTAAAGGGGTGCATTTTCCATAACAAAGGTAAGCATGTTTTTCCCTTGTGGTGACGGTTTCTACACCAACTTGTGAAGAGTGATTGGTGATGGAACTCTAAAGTGAGAGGATATTTAGGTTTGATGAAGATCGAGATGGGCCAAACCACGTAAATATTATTATAACCACTTTCTCTCTAATTTGACTTTTATCACTTACACTACTATTTGTTTTACTTACCTACTTGCGATATTTCGGTTATTGGACTTTATATTATCATACTTTTCATTAATTCTGTGTCATTAGAGCTAGTCAACTACTTTACATAGTTGTGTGCTGATCCAATTATTGAATATTCATATGTTTTTGTGCAAGTGCAACATTTATATTTGTGCTCTAAAAAATTCATTATACTTAGCATAGAACTATAAATATATCATCACCTTTATATATCTTGTTGACATTTGTTGTAGGCTTCAGAAATTGTTCATTGACTTATAGCTTCTATGATTTAATAAATTTACTACATATGCACTTACATATAGTACTATATTGTTAATATATATGGGTTTAGTTTAACTTATTTATATCCTATTGTGCATATCATAAAAAGTAGTTTATATTTTTACTTTGTGCATTACATCTCTTGTGTTCATTGTGTGGGGATTAGTTGAATTTTAAAAGAAAATTTTAAGTTTGAAAAGCATACCCCCAATTCACCACCTCCTCTATTGGCACTTTAAACTAACGCACTTACTCATCCATATCTAAGCATAGGCATGTCAATTATATGAGATCAAAGTTTCATCTCTTTATAGAATCAAAGGCGCATTGAAATGCATCAATATAATGTAGCGTATACCTCCGAGCAAACTTTTCAGCTTTTTCTGGTGCATCAATTACTGTAGGATCATTCTCAGCCCGCTGCCTGCATCAAAGCCCATTACAAACATGGAATCACACCTCCCTTTTGAAACAAGTGAATGATTAAATACTAGTAATAGAAGCAGTTACTTATAAATGGACAACTACAGTAGAACAAAGAACATGTACAGAAACTAAAATTGATTGAAACATCAACTTATAATCAGGAGAAAACAAAAACATAGGGACATCCTTACCATTGGGATGGAAAACACGTGCATCTTGTAATGAAATTAGTTCTAAGATTCAATGCACATTCGGTGATGCATCTCTTCAATAAGGATGCCCCCTAATTCTTTTTTCATAATAGTTGCATACCAGGAAAAAATTATTGTTGGTAGAGTTTTTTAGGATGTGTCATTTACAATAATAACTTCTTTCTTAAACATAAACATGCAAAGAAAAGGTGAATCCACCCTGAGAAGTGTTTCCCCAAGAAGACACTCAGATACAGAAGTTAGCAAATTGATTCAAAAGAAATGATAGGAATGGCTCAAATTAAATGAACCTTGATGGCTTACAAATCTTATGCTTTGTTCTTTAGGTCACGCAAGACATTTGGTTATAATTTCATAGGGTTCGAAAGAAAGATCAAACCATATGACCTTTCCTAAATTCAAAATCAATTTAAATCTATTTAACATTAGAAAAATCATACTTAAATTAAAAAACACTAATACGTGTCAGATTAATTCTCACAAATCCTAATAATCTATAGAATATAGGAAAAATCATTCCACATATTTTGCAAATTAGACTGCATGATTTCTTGATAATACAAATCTTTATATTCAAGCCATTAAGGATATTTATACAAAGTTACTACTTGTGTTCAAAACAAGGTAGTTTGACCAAGTATTTTCCTATTTCACTAGGATTACATCAAAGTTCACCTTTAAGCCATATCATTTTGCTTTAGTAATAAATATTCTTACAAGACATTTGCAAGAGGATGTACCTTGGCAAATGCTTTTTGTTGATAATATTCTTCTTGCTGATAAGACTAGAGAGGAAGTTGATGAGAAACTTGAATTACAAAGGTCAACCTTAGAATCGAATGATTTTCATTTGAGTAGATCTAAAATCGAATACAAGGAGTATAGTTTTAGTGGTAATAGATCTAGTTGTGAGATTGTGATATTGGGTGATCAAGTCATTAAAAAGAGTACATGTTTTAAATATTGAGGGTCTAGTGTTCAAAAAGATGGTAAACTAGATTAGGATATTATTAGTAGAATTCATGTTGAACGGTTAAAGTGGAGGAATACATCAGGTTTATTCTATGATAGAAAAGTATCCCTCAAAGTTAAGCAAAAAATGTAATAAGATGGTGATGAGACCTGCAAAGTTTTATGGTGCAGAATATTGACCATTAAAAGAAAAGCAAAAATTTAAGTAGTGTTGTGATGCTTGGGCGGATGAGTGGCTTTACACTTAGAGATAGAATGCAAAAGTGTATGTAAACAAAAAGGATGGAGTGGCTCCAGTGGCAGATAAGAATAGAGCGAGTTTCTTTAGATGGTTGGTCACATAAAATGTTAGCCTTCAGATGATCATGTTACAAGAGTAGATGTATTAGATCTGGTCTATATTAAAATAGGTTGAGATAGACCTAAAAAGATTTTGTTAGAAAGTATTAAAAATATTTTTTAAATAGGACACAATGGAGAAAAATAATTCATATAGCTGACCCCACCGAGTGGGATAAAGGCTTATTATTGTTTTTATCATTGTATTGCAAATAAGAAATTAAAATAAGAGGTATTAAGTAGTGTGCCTCTACATTCCTTTGTTAAAACTATTGAGAAAAAGTATGATCTTTATATTGCTAGTTTTGCTACAGTGTAATCAATACATCAAATGAATTCTATGAAATTATAAAACATTTCTACATAGGATGGTATAAAGCAAAACCCTCCAAGAAAGACTGCAATAAAAGTTTAGAATTAACTCTCCCGAAATCAATTCGATGTCAGCTAAAAATGTATTAATTTGTCATTTATGGATTCTCCCTATTTTTAATGGATGCCAAATAATTTAAAATCTTTGATAATCCTTATGTTAGTAATGAATCTATCAAAAAAAAGACTTTGTCCAACTCAACAAAGGTATTCATGGCACTATGATGAAGTATTTGGGCTTATCTCTTAATTATAAGGTAATACTCAACAAGAAGTGAATTTGTTGCTTGTTGAATATGCATAATTGTTCAAAAATGGTCCATATATGCATAGAGATATATGGACCAATCCGCCACACAAAAAAACATAAGCACATTTAGCAATGAGGCATTGCAACTAACATTATGCATGGGCATGTAAATGACCTTCATTTCATGACAAAAGTATGTTTACTTCTTCATTAGTGATATTTGGAGTATTAGGAATCACCTAATTTATTGAAGGTGGTTAACTGAGCTAGCATCATCAAGTAAATATTCATCCCATGATTGAGGTGGAGAAGATGACGGAGCCTCGCTTTGATGGTGTGATGCTGCCAAATAGGAGTTCTAAGGTTAACAATTCTTAATACTCCATTGTTGAAAGGAAAATAATTATGAGAGCATTACAAAATGATAATCCCATTTGACAAGATTCCCAAAGAAGGCATATGATTTCATGTTTCCACTCTTCCATTCATCATGTGTAATCTTCAAGAAAAGGGGCAGATGTACTTTCCTGACATGTTTCTCTATTAACTAAGAGGTCGAGGGGCTGATGCCTAACTTGTAGCATTTAGTTTGTCAATAGATTCCTTGTTTGACATGAATAATAAAGAAATTTCAAAATGTTTTGAATATAGCATTGGTTGGCCATAAGGTTGTCAATCAACGAGTGTGAAAAAGATTCCTTTAGATGATGTTAAATGTTGTATGTGAGAAATGAAAAGTTTTAGAACCCTTACAATGAGGTGGATGATGGATGGAAAAGACATTTTATCTCTAAAAATTATATTGGATAAAAATGCAACTAGTTGAAGGAAATTTTAGACTTTTGGCTTATCAGAGGACTTAGGATCAAAACACCTTATTTTTTAAGAGTGGAGTTGGACCATCATACCTTTGAGCTACTGACTGGATAGATGGATGTTTCGGGCATTAAGATTATTATTGCTTCACATAGGCTTGATACCATTAATTTTGAGGTGATCTGATGTTATCGAATAACAGGGGCTATTGTCTTGTTCTATTGTTATGCATGAAGAATATGGAAGTATGAATATTAACGCTCTTAATGGTATGTCTAGGATTAATCTTCTACAAATAATTTTTAAGGGCGCCACATCAATAAGTATCATGTAAACCAGATAATTTTATAGATTGCTTATCTATCAACTCAAAACCTTATAGGCAACCCAACATAGAGTAATAGAGTAATGCATACGAAAGTTATTTTTCCAAATGATGGTATTATTGAAGGATAGCTCACCATTTTGGATAGCGTCTCTTCAAGGTTAAGACTAATCTAGTATTGCAAATAAACTGTTAAGTCATACTAATTTAGAACAAGGCAACAAGACTCCACTAGATATGCTGGCATCATGAGCTAACATTTCAGCTCAAATTCTACAATTGTCTCAGATCGCGAGGAATAGTTTTTTAATCACTTTCAAAAGAAGTTGCTATGTAAGTAGAGTCACTTAGTTTTAATGGAACAAAAAGTAAACAAATTTGGTTTGCTTCAGTTATGATAAGTGTAAAGTAATCCCCTGCAGACAAATTGACAGCATTCGGTTTACTTCAGATTTGTGAATGCACGTACTTTAAATCAAATCCAACTAAACAGCCTCATCTGCTCATTAAGTAATTCAAATACAGGCCTCTCATTGAACCTTTACAGTTTACTTCATCATATGCTCATCCAACAAACAATCAGATCTCATAGTGATGGCAAATTCCATACTAATTCTATAATAGAGTTTCTGGAGATTAATCAGATATTGACCTGAAAGATGGCACGGAGTTCAAGAAAAGATCTATCCATTGGATCTCGATCGGCGTCGCTTTTCGGGGATTGTCCGACAGGAAGCGGTAAGGGATCGTGCAAGCCCTGTAATTTGCCTCCACTGGCGTCTGAAGCAGCGGAAACGGCACCGACGGGGAGGAACTCTCCATTCGCTTCTCTTTCCCTCTCGCACTCCCTCCTCTCTACCGATTATTAATCATAATCGAAGACTGATGGAGACCGAAGTGGGATTTGAGTGAAAGGATCCGTATGGTAGTTCTTTTCTACTAAGCGTACATCGTCATTTACGATTTAAAAAATAATAATCAAGAAGGTCTATCACATATTTAGAGGCTTTTTTATTGGCCATAAAGTAAATATAATATAATATAAATACAGTATAAAATAAATATTTAGAGGCTATTTGGTTATTTAAAAAGTAAATGAAAGAATATTATTTTTTCTATTTTATTGAGTGCATGAAGGATAAAGTAAAATTAGTGCATAAATGTTGTAACTTCATTCAACCAGCTTGGGAAAAATTTGCATATATTCTCTGCTTCACTTTCTTCAGAGAATGAAATAGAAATCAAAGGCTGAAAAATCAATGATGAAAGCATCTCTTTGTCTCGCCAGTATCGCTAGCCTTCACCAGTGAGAAGAAAAAATATATTTTTCGTCATTTTTTCTTCGTATTGCTCTGCTCTCTTTCATCATCTCCTACTTCTTCATTTTCTTTCTCTTATCATTCAACCTGCTTCTTTGATCCAAAAGTTGTATAAATGAGCACTATTTGGAGATTTAATTAAAGCCGAAGCAGGTAGATTTACTTTACAAATTCCTGCATTAGATTTACTTCACACCAAAAAAAAAAAATTCAACCAAACAGTCCCTTGTATCTCAAATATAAACGTTATTATTTATTTATATAATAATTAAAAAATTTTCAAATATGATCGTCAATTTTGCTATTGCACATAAATAAATATATATGGCTCACTCTAGCTAAAAAATTTACTAAATACTTAAAGTCGTAGAAATTCGCCAAGCAACAATAGGCGAATGACATTGATTTGATGATAGTGATCAATTGATAATGACTTAGTGATAACAGTTTGACAATGACTCTCAGATTATTGCTATGTACTATGACAGGTTGAAGATAGCAATCAGATGATTATTATTAAGTGATAATGTTTGGAAGGTGAAGTCGTGCAACAAATGTTCAGTGATGTTGACCTCATTTTTGTATGAGGTCAATTCCAAACTCACATCTTCAAACCATATAAATCTTCTTTCTAAAGGATACCCTAGCCTGATAAATGAATATGATTTAAATAATTTAATTTAGAAAATTAAAGTAAAGAAAAAATAAATAAATTAAACCAATTTAAATATTTTTTGATAAATTAAATTAAATAAACAATAAAAACAAAATGTTATGCTTTATGTGTTTGGTTTATTCTTTGAAATAAAACAAACACATTTATCTTAAAAGCCTTGGACTTAATAATTAATGATTCCAATGTATGTTGGAGTTATTAATTATCATGGTTCTTAAAACATAAATTAGACAAATTTAAATTTGTTAATAAATGTTCATTCAAATAAAATTTCTTAGCTTGCAATATAAGAATTCAATTTATAGATAATTCAAATACTAATCCATATAAGATACATCCAAGTTCCACAACTTAACAGACACATAAAATTATTTGATATGATAATCAAATCTAACCCAAAATTAGGGGTGGTGTGTTAGTGTGTGTGTTTATTTTCCTGCACTTTAATTGAATGAGGAGTGATATTCTGATAGATATGTGATGTTATGAGTATTTACTTTCAATGCACTCTATAATGTGGCATGTGAATGAGATATATATATATATATATATATAGCACTATTTTGTATACTAATCTCTGTAGGTGTAGAGTCTTTTTATTTAAAAATTCAAATATAAAATTATTTAGAGTTGTAAATGTATGAAGTTATGAAAGTCTTAAATGAAGTTGCTTATATAATAAAGAAGCCCAAAAGAATGTTTGTTCTTTGAATATTATATCAATTGCAATTCTTTAGAAGTGTGTTCATAGACTGGAGAATATCTAAAGGAATTAAATAAACAATTTCATTTTATTTAGACTTGCATCATTTCTAGATATAAAGATTGACCACCATTACTTAATTGCATACCTTAGTTTATTTCTTAAGTAACATTTGTCACATGGGCTTTTCTTTGCTATTTGTATACAGATTACTTTGATTGATTGTAAATGATAAGTGAAGTAGAAATTGCATGTTTTTCGTAAGTTTCTTGGCAATGCATGTGCTTTTGACTGGACTCACACATTAGGTCCTAGGAACTCTATTATGTTTGTACTTTAAAACACCAATATTTACTTTCCTACATTCATAACATCCATTTTACTTTTATTACTATTGACAAAAAAACTCACACGAGCCACTGGCATGCTAGTGTAACATAAGCAATGGGGTCAAGTCTGTGATTTTTGTTGGTATTGCTGCCAATCTGGACTCAAGTCTTTTGATTTTGATAATAACAAATATTATTGGACTCTACTATTCTATATCTTATTATTGTTATTATTGCATATTTGTTTCTTGTGCACTAATAGTTTAGGTTCGCCATATATTGTGCAAATTGATTAGCTCAAGACTGGATAGAATAAGATTAAAGTATCTTGAAGAGTCTGTAATTTTATTTTTATTTATTTCAATCTTTCTAAAGCCAAGTCATATATTTGGTGGATACTAAACTTAGTGATCGTACACACTCACACACACTCAGAAGAGTGAGATAGAGAGAAAATTAGAAATGTAATATTATGAATTAATCATATTGTACGATTCATATCAAAGAATCATTAAAATGGCTAATTGTGTAATTAAAGCTATTTGAACTAAACAAATTGAACAATCTTGATCGTACAGGACGATTAGTTGAAATCAATATCCTAGTCGCCAATCACAATTTAGGCAATATTTTGAAATTCAAAATCTGCACTAATCATGCCGTATGATAGGTATTGTATTATACGATAAAATTAAATCTTACCTAAAGTAATCATATAATTAAGGAAAAACTTTGGATTAATTGATCCAGTCAAATCGTACAAGATGATTGGAGCGATCAAAATTTTCTACCTAATTTCTATATGGGATGATATTTATTCATCTCCAATCGTACGGGATTATAATCTTGATAGTTTGTATAGGTTGTTAGACCATATAAAATTTTTTCAAGACTAACCAAGAGGGGAAATAAATTAGTTGTTTAAAATTTTCTTAGATTTTTGAAAACTTTTTCTTTTAATTTTTAGAAAATCAAATCACTAATTCTTAAATTTGCAGTAATTTAGAGAAGTGATTATCACATCGAATTTTTCAAACACAAAAATTTGAAATGTAGAAAAGAAAAATTCAAAAAGTGTAAAAGCAATAGAAGAACATTAAATTTTATAGTGGTTTGGTCCAGCTTAGCCTACATTCACTCCATGTAAACTCTTTCTCCATGTATTGTACTAATCAGTAAAGACTCTCCTTTAACCCCCATAGTAAGCCTTACAAACTCTCTTCTACAAATCCAGTGCGGTGGAGAGCCGACGCCTTTAACACTCTCAAAGTGATGGCAACATACCATCTGCTGTAAATTTGATTTCATGAAATAGAATTTTGATGATAGCAAACATTTCTATTTTTTTACGACAGTCTTGTCTATTAACGTTTGAGGTTCACAAGATCAAATTGCAAATTGAACCATCTCGAGATTGGGTAGATTAGGATTTAGTTAGTTTGTAATGCACGTCAAATGCCTTTTACCCTTTCTTGAATCAATTGTAAAAGTTATGGACCCTGATGCTAAGTAATCTTGCACACACATACTTGGGGGAAAAATTTATCTGTTGGTTAGAGTTTTCTATTTTGATAACATCGTCCATGATGATCCAAAAATCATCTTGGACGATCAGTTAAAAATAGAAACCCTAATTAGGGCATCCTAGTTAAGGCAGTCATCAGTAAGAAAATAATCTTGGACGATATTAGCATCGTCCGAAATGATAGGCTCAAATCAGAAAGAATCAGCCCCAATATCTATTTAGGCATCTTTTATTTTTAGACATCATCCTAGACGATGTAGTGTAATTATGCCTAAATTAATTTGATAATTAAGGAAAGCAATTAAGGATTGATTGCTTGAACATATCATCCTGGACGATCCTACATGATCAGTTTATAAACCTTAGTTCTTCCTGGACGATGTATAATCGGCCTGGTTGCTTTAAGGGTGATGATGTGGATGATATGTACTAAATTGTACTAATCATCTGGGATGATAGAGAGATCATCCTACATGATCAATTTATTTTTCCATCATCCAAACATCCTTTTAGGGCGATGTTCTGGACAATATTGGTCATTTTGTACTAATCAGCCCGAACGATCTAGCTATTTTTCCATCATCCAGACATCCATCCAGGACAATGGTCTGGATGCTATTCAATGACTTGAACTAATTGTACATGACGATATCCTATCATCCTGGATGATATGAATAAATTATCCTTCTGATTATCCATACTCTTCCAAATCGTCCTGACTGATTGAGCTGAATTTGTATTGATCATATGAGGATGATCAGCCGATCGTCTTGGATAATAATGTCAGTTTGTTTCAATTAAGAGCAAATCTGAAGCTCTTCTTTATAAGACCTCTTATTTTATCTAAGAGAGTATCTTTTGCTGTTGTTCTAACCTGAGAAAGCCAAGAGGAGAGGGAGAGCAAGGGAGAGAGAGAGAGAGAGAGAGGATCTTCTAAGGGGGAATTTGTGAGGGGTTTCACAAAGGTTGCTCTAAGCAAGGATCCAAGTTATCTTCTCCGGTCGTCATCCCTGGTTCCTTGGAGGTTTGAGAGAGGTCGACTTCAATAATTGATCAAGATTCTCTGCCTACTTTTGGAGGAAGTAAAAAGAGTTAGGTTCTTTGTCTGCTTCTAGAGGAAGCAAAAGGATTTGGATTCTCTACCTGCTTCTAGAGAAAGCAAAAGGAGTTGAATTCTCTGTCTGCTTCTGGAGGAAGAAAAAGGAGTTGGGTTCTCTGCCTCATCTAAGTTGGTGGAAAGGAGTTTTTGTACAGGCTTCTCTGCCTTGCTGTGGGGGAAAAAGGAGAGACATTGAGTTTAGTGCAATACTCGAAGGGTACCTCCGGGGGGTAAATATAAGTCATTTTGACCGAACCATTATAAAATATGGTTTGTTCTTTCTTATTATACTT